ATATATATATATATATATATATATATATATATATATATATATATATATATATATATATATATATATATATATATATATTACCTCTCCGAGTAAACATATATCGTACCTGTGTCTGGTTTTGCATCTCGTTCCTCGTTTGCCTTATTATTGTTTTTGGTAGGTATGATTCTGCGTCCTTTCGCGGCCGCTCTTCCCATACCCTTATGGATTTTTTGTTGTTGCGGTCTTTTACCATCAGTTCCAGGCCTTGCCTTGTGATCTGAGATCTGAGTAAGTTTGGCATTCCTTTGCGCGAATTTGCGCGTTGACTTCTTAAGCTTAGCCATTTTTACGCTCTATGATATGCACGTTGCTATCCAATGCACGTTACTGTAATATATACGGGATTATATTATGGTCAGGTGCTATGAGTATGCAGCATGTATATATGTACGTCTGCGTAAACAACTATTTTAGTACGTTCAAGAAGAGTGGATTCAAAAATAGCGACTTTCCAACACTATAATTCGATTGAGTTTTAATTTTGACATGTCCAGTGCACTAACGGTGTCACGTGTATTTTTTATCTAAAAAATATCATAAAAGCTCAACTTTTTCAGATACAAAATGATGGAACTAAAAAAAAGGGGTTTTTCATATGTATGTACCCCTCCCCAGAATCCAGCCCTCCCCCCCCCCCCTGGGGCTGGCCCTGTCCCTACCCCCGCCTCCCCTTGGGCCCTGCTGGGGCTGGCCCTGTCCCTCCCTCTCCCTCCCCCTGGGGCTGGCCCTGTCCCTCCCCCTGGGGCTGGTCCTGTCCCTCCTCCCGCCTCCCCCTGGGCCTGTCTCTGCCCGGGCCCCCTCAAAGGAATATTTTGTGTTGTTGCAAGACAGTGTCATCGTTTTTAGATTTGTTGGATTAGAAACGTTCATCATCATATTTATACAAAACGCGGATATATATAAAATATGGTATGTATATCCAACCAGCATAAACATACAAAACATATAGGACAGTATGAATGTAGTGGTTATTATTGGAGAATCGTAGATTCAGGTGACGATACCATGTTGGACTACTATTCGCTGCTGGAAGTGTCTCACACCGCTTCCCAAGATGAAGTAAAGAAAGCGTAAGTGTTTGAACTTTGCTTTCAAGTATGTTAATGGTGTATTGTGCTCAAATACAAAAGGCGGCTTGCCAGCGTGTCTGAATTTTTGTTGGGTGTGAGGGACTCGTGAGTTACGAAATAGGATAGGTTGTAGTCTTGTAGATATTTACTAAATGAATGGAATACGACTACTGAGATTGTTGCGTAAATATCTATCATATGAATATGATATGTGCTCCTTTTGCGTTCAATTGCCTCAGTATGTAAATGAATGAAGTCAGTAGGTGATGGATGTATTGTCACTTAATCACATTTTGGTCTGTGTAGTCGAATGTGAAGAGATTTTTCATCAAATAAATCATGTGTGGAGAGACTTGTGCGTCATACATAAATTCGCGAAGACGGTGAGTGCTGCACGTGTCCGCTCACATCCGGTCTATATAGTAGTGTGCGCATCTTTTTTCTTTGAATGTTAGACATCAAGGTTTGCGCCTCTTACACGAATACATGAAGTTAGTGAGTGATAAGTGTATTGGCTTGCATCTGGTTTGTGTAGTTGAGTGCGAATGGACTGCTGTGGAATGTATCTTATGCTAGAATTTTCATACCCGTCTTTTCAAGCACTTGTTGCAATGCCATCCCCAAAATCCAGATTTAAAAATATTCTGGCACGTATATAGTGTTTTGATGTAATATATAGATATAGGATTCGATCCCGTACACACAAAAATTTTATTTTATTTT